TTCAAATTGCGCACTTATTTATGAACACCTTTAAAATATTTAAACAAATATACTAACCTTATCGACCTCCCACCATGCAGGATAAAGTTTAGCTTGTCCATTAGCCAACACATATGATTCCTGTCATTGATTCTTCAAGTGAACTACGTGAAACGACGTCGGCATAATTGTATATCACGTTTTTTTAATATTTTTCTTCAATTTCCTTACAATTAGAAGACGTGTCACCCATGCATCAATATGCTGTTTTACAAAAAAAGACATATATTAGTGAATTACATAAATTTTAAAAAATTTAATCAAACTAAAATATAAGAAATATAAGACTTACCCCCCCATCAAAATAGTCGTTGTCTTCAACCCCTAATAATAGACCCCACCAAGACCGTTCAATCAACAAATGCATATCATCGTTGAGTTTGTATATGTCAGCGTAACACCCTTGGCTCCGCTCATGTAGATAAAAATCAACTGCGGTCTTAGCCCAAATGGTATTATCCAGAATTGTTTCCGGTAGTTGTTTCCTCTCCACTTCATCTGCCGGAATGGTACTGGCCGGTAACTTATACGAAAGCCAACAGTCATCCATCATGTCCGGCACGTGAGGGGGCTTCCCAATAATTCAATATATTACGTCGTGTGAATCGGGCTCTAGAATGTTGGGAGGGACCTCTTCAACGATGACAGTGGCCTCTTGAATGGTGGGAGGGGACTCTTGAGGGATGATAGGGGCCTCTTGAACGATAGGGGAGGCCTCTTGACTATTGGGGTGAATGGAGACGTAATGGCACGTGCACGCCGTCTGATGCGTGAACTCCGTCTTGCAAGAAAAACCCGACGTAGAGCATCCACCTTAGCGGGCCGCTAAAAATAAATTAATACATAAATCAGTAAATAAACAGACATGATATTAAACAGTGAGAACAAAGACAAATATATTTCAAACTTGCACGGTATTCACCCAAGTCATTATTATATCATTGTTCACAAAATGCACCAGATAACATTCTAGAAGTAAGCACTTATATAAACATTTAAAAGGACAACATATAGGTTTAGTGCAGGTTCAATGACAACATAAAGAGTAGTAGTTTATTCTTGAAACTTAAATTTTCAACATTGTGAAGTTAGTATTTGTCTTTTGGTTGAAGTAATGCAATTCATTCAAGTTTCAATTTGCAGAAGAAGAATAGAATCTGAAACTTAAAATCGCAGCGCGAAAATGACTATCACAATGCGAAAATGACTATCGCAATGCGAAAATGACTATCGCAATGCGAATTTGACTATCGCAATGCGAATTTTACTATTATAACGAGAGAATCCCAATGCGAAATGAAAATCGCAACGCGATTATAGTTTCGCGTTGCGATTTTGGTTTCACGTTGTGATTTTGTCATTGTGATTTTGGTTTTGCGTTGCGATTTTCATTTCTCGTTGCGATTCTCTCGTTGCGATTCATTTCACGTTGCGATAGTCATTTTTCACGTTGCGATTTTAAGTTTCGTGTTGCGAAAGTAAACTATTTCATCTTCTGCAAATTGAAACTTGAATGGATTGCATTACTTCAACCAAAAGACAAAACAAAGACAAATACTAACTTCAGAGTATTAAAGAATACACAGTTTAGCAGAATTGGCAGCAACCGAACAAATTTACTTTCAACCAAAAGACAAAACAAAGACAAATATTAACTTCACAGTGTTAAAGAATACACAGTTTAGCAGAATTGGCAGCAACCGAACAAATTTACTTTCAACCAAAAGACAAAACAAAGACAAATATTAACTTCACAGTGTTAAAGAATACACAGTTTAGCAGAATTGGCAGCAACCGAATAAATTTACTTCAACCAAAAGACAAAACAAAAGACAAATACTAACTTCACAGTGTTAAAGAATAAACAGTTTAGCAGTATTGGCAGCAACCGAATAAATTTCTTAAGCAATCTAAGTGAAATGGTTAATCTAAGTGAAATTACGAGTAAATTTATCATCAAGTTAAATATGGAAAATCTTAAACTTACCTCGTTGCGTAGAGTATGAACCTCATTCTGCAACGATACTACCATCTCACGTAGAGCGGCAACCTCACCACGTAAAGTAGACACCTCCACACGCCATGCACCATCGTTATCGCGTAGAGTACCGATCTCCTCACGCAAGGCATTGACCTCATCACGCAACTCCCTTGACTCATCTCGTGGAGGTGGAGAACAGGGAGATAGAAGTCGTGGCATCTTTGCCGGTCGCCTATCATGAGGTGATGGTGGAGAAGAGGCTCGATGATGTGACGGGATAGGTGATGGCTCTCGTTGTAGAGGTGTATAGTCGGGTCGATCAGGTGATGGCTCTGGGTGAGGTGATGGCTCTCGAAGTGGAGGAAGTGGAGGCTGCTCATCATTCGTGCCATCAAAAAAACGTTGACTAGCTTGCCACCAATCAGTGGCAAGCTCAGCCTCCGTGGGTGTCAGTCTCTGTAATGGAGTGTTGGCCTCCTAAAAATATAAAAACTCAAACAAAGTTAAATGTCTACTATTAATAACTTGTTTATATATGATAGTATTTGTGTTAACTTACATTATTTATTGTCGCAAGTCTTCCCAATCCAACAGACGTTTCCTCTTCCAGGAAATAGCCCTAGGAATATCATTTGAAGTTTTTAATGCATATGTCCGCATGCTGGGGAAAGCCTCGAATATCCAAATCTACAAACAATATAATAACAAACATTAGTAATTGTTAAATAATTAATTATAATTTTGAAAACATTATATAGAAATTCTTACCTTAAAGGCCCAAACAAAGCCTGACAAAGTGTATTTCGACCCATCGCCACGCATACTTTTGCGGTCATCAAAGGCAGACAACGACTTAGTCCAGGTAGCTTTTCATATATATGAACCCCACGAAAACAGATTCCATGCATTTAGGTCATCTACCAATAATATTAGCTCCTGAGGAATAGGTTGTCTGGCCTCTCTGCCTAAAAAGCCGGCATACAAAAGTACTAGAAGGCATACTCGGACAACATCGACGTCATTCATCCGAGTAAAACCATCTTTCTTATTAAACAATTTCTTCAGGTCATCGACGTGTAAGTTCGGCTTCTCTATTGACTCATCAGGAAAAATCCGGGATAACCATGATGGGCGGGTGATATGACGAGTGTAACGGCCTACATCATCGTGTCCGAATCGTAGACCAGTGATTAAGCAGAACTCCTTCCACCCAAAACAAGTATACGCCGGTGGAAAATGAAACCATATCTCTTCCTCACCACGTTGTATACTGTCGGGTAGATCGCTAGTCATGGTCTGAAGTCACAAATGGGTCAAATTAGCATCTCCACCCGGATGCTGTACTCTCAGCCATGGCCCGAAGCAGGTTTCCTCAAACAATTTTCTTTGTGCAGGTGAAAGCTTTGAAGCAATTGTAGTGGCTAGGCTAACTTTATTCCTTAATGTCAATGAAGCCGAAAAAAATTTCTACAAAAACAATAAACATACCAAGTTAGATATACCAAAAACTACACTGTGAAGATATACCAAAAACAATAAACATAAAGAGTAGCAGTTTATTCTTGAAACTAAAATTTGCAACATTGTTTTGTCTTTTGGTTGAAATGAAAATCGCAACGAGAGAATGACTATCGCAATGCGGAAATGACTATCGCAACGCGAAATGAAAATCGCAATGCGGTTTTCATTTCGCGTTGCGATTATCTCGTTGCGATTTTCATTTCGCATTGCGATTTTCATTTCTCTCGTTGCGATAGTCATTTTCGTGTTGCGATTTTCATTTTCATGTTGCGATTTTAAGTTTAGAAACTATTCTTCTTCTACAAATTGAAACTTTAATGGATTGCATTACTTCAACCAAAAGACAAAACAAAGACAAATACTAACTTCACAGGGTTAAAGACTAAATAGTTTAGCAGTATTGACAGCAATCGAATGAATTTAATAAGAAATCTAAGTGAAATGGTTAATCTATTATTGAAATTACCAGTAAACTTATCATCAATTTCAATATGAAAAACCTAAAATAATGCAAAAATTTCAAAATAAAAATAATTAAAAAAAACTAACCCTCGGAGGTTGATTTTCCATTTCTGAATGATTGTGAGGGATTTCTGACCGTGAATGGTTGTGAGGGATTTCGCCGGAGATGGGGACGGAAATCTTCGGAGATGGGGACGGATTTCGCCGTAGAGAGTGAGAGATAGAGATGGGACTTAGTTGTGATTTTAGGTTTTAGGTTATGAGTTGCGATTACGGGATATACTGTGGATGGTTTAGTGTTCCGATAATTAATATTCGTGTTTGGAATTTGAAAATAAAATACGCGTAGCGATTCTAATGGCGCTTTAAAAATCGCGTTGCGATTTATGGATACGCGTTGCGATTTTACGTATTGTCGTTGCGATTTACGGATACGCATTGCGATTTACGTATTCTCGTTGCGATTTACATATACGCGTTGCGATTTACGTATTCTCGTTGCGATTTACGGATACGCGTTGCGATTTTACGTATTGTCGTTGCGATTTACGGATACGCGTTGCGATTTTATGGATACTCGTTACGATAGTTAGAATCGCGTTGCGATTTATATGTTCGCGTTGCGAATTTCATATTCGCGTTGCGATTCTGGAAAATCGCAATGCGAATTTGTACTATCGCATTGCGATTCTTCATAATCGAGTTGCGATTCTGGGAACTGATTTGCGATTCTGGAGATCGAGTTGCGATTTTTATTTCGCATTACGATTTTGTTGGTCATTTTGGTAAATCAAAAAAAATTGATTAAAATCGTATATTATAAGACATTTTTGGTCACTGAGATGATTTTTTCTATTAAAATTGAAAACTCGCATTCATTTCAGCGTGTGTACTAAACTTAAGAATTAAGATTTTTTGAGCTACTGTTCCTTTGAGGCCCAAACCCAAAAATTCTCCATTAATCTACCAATTTAATAATGTAACTCTTGTAAAGTATTCACAATGGAATCCGGCAGCGGCTTCATAGAGGTAAGGGTAATTTCCTGCAAGTCTCTTAGGGCATTCAACTTCTTCCAGAAGCTCTCAGTCTACGCACTTGTTTCCATCGCCAACGACGATGACGACAACGTTGATCGGAAACAGCCTCAGAGGACACCCACTGACCGAGAAGGCGATGGGAATCCCGAGTGGAACCATACGATTCGGTTCAACTTGTTTTGTGATTGCGATAAATACTTCCTACACTTTGATCTGTACCACGAAGGAGCCATGTTTGGGGACAAGTTCATCGGCGAAGTTGTTGTTCCTTTAGTCGATCTGGTCCAGAAATCTAATAATGGGTGTGTTAGATTCGTCACTTATCAGGTACGGACTAGAGATGGAAAATCGAATGGAACGTTGGATTTCTCTTTTAAGGTGAAGATTGGGGAGGCTCAGGGTTTGATGAAGATGGAATCTCCGGCGAGCCTCCTAACTGGATATCCTGAAACTGAGAGCGGATCTCCGAGAGTCCGATATCCAGTTCTAGATTTAGAAGGTATGTTGGTGCAGGATCTGAATCCGCCGCAAAATGGTTACTATCCGCCTCCCCCGCCGTATCTTCATCCACCTGCAGCCGTGGCACACGGAGGGCGTTATTGTTATCACCCACCTCCTCCCCCTGGGTCCTATATGTGGGGGCCCTCCCTTTACGGTAGTTATGCAGCACATGATGGGACCCAGCTCGCCTGCCCAGATGAACCATTTGAGACGTGGGCAAATGGTTATGGGGTAGGTGGTGTGGGAGGAAACTACCATTCACCTTCGAGGAATAATTGGTGAGATCGATTTAAAAGCATTTTTTTCTGAGTCGCAATGTATTATTTTCCTTTTTTTTTGTAATTGTTCCCTTTTTTGCTGATGAACCCAAAAAAAAATGTAAATTATGTATTTTCTTATGAAGTTATACTAGTGTTAATTCCCCCAAGGCCGGGAGTTATTTTTTAGATAAATTATTTAATGAAATTAATTGTACGTCTTATTAAATTATTTTAATTAATTAACATTAACATATTATGATTATTTAGAAAGTGCACGTGGATTAATTCTTTTAAAATATTAATATATATTTAGTTAAATATTTATTTTAAATAATATTTATTTTGATTAATCATCAACATTAAACACATTATGATTTGGGTCCGGTCATTTTAGATTCAAATCCATAATAAGTCAGGTCTAGTTAATGTCATATCAATTAATTTTTAGTTTGGGTTAATATAGGCTCGGTCAATTTTTTAGTCAAATCAATATCGAACCAGTCAATTATGATTTGGAACAACCTTTGAATCTTTACTTTAGGTCAATTCAGATTGAGTTGAATATGAGTCTAAACGAGTATATATGAAATTATTAATATATTTTTGTAGAAAAATATGTTTTTTTATTTGTTAATCTTGTCATTTAGGTACAATTTGTAATACCTCAAATTTCGATACATAAACATGATTCATTAACTTAAATCTGATTTTTCTAGTAAGATAATAGATTGTTTTATAAATTATTTATACCGAGTGAATCTCACAATTATTTAAAATAGTTTAAATAATTATTATATACATATGTGTATTTGATTTTATATTTTAAATAATAATTTTATATATTTAAAACAATTATTTAAAATAGTTTATTATATACATATATGTATTTGATTTTATGTTTTAAATGTATTTTATATGGTATATTATTTATATATGATGATGACGGTTTATGAATTGATTTGATTTAATTTTAATCAATTATTATTATTATTATTATTATTATTATTATTATTATTATTATTATTATTATTATTAGAAAAATTAGAGACCACACGCTTAAATATCTGTGTATGTCTAGTGGTTATTTGGGGATTGAACGGGGATTTTGAAACAAGCTAAAATCGGAGGAAAGAAATCCCTAATTCTCACGAAATTTATAAATTGAATCAAGTTTTTGGGGTTTTGGTTTAAATGGAATCCTAACCCTAATCCTAATCTACCCAATCCCAACAGTAAATCACCCGTCTATGAACCCATTTCAACAACGGAAATAGTAAACTAGGCCTAAGCTTGGCCCAAACCTAGACCAAGATCAGCCTTTAGTAGGCTTTCTCTAAACTAAACTACCCGGTGAGCCCTAAGGAGAGTGTGCGAATGGACTGCCTCCTTTTCAACAAAAACAGCCACATCTGTAATAGGGTCTCCACCCATATTTATATTTTATTATTATTATTAGTGAAATAGTATATATAAACATCAAATAAATAAAACCAAAATATCAGAATTAATTTTCAAATTATAGTTTAAATTTTAAAATTCAAAACCCATTACATTTCTAAAATCCAAACCGGTTTAGTAGGATGCCCATACGTAAAACCAGAAAAGGTTTAGGGTGCGTTTGGTTCACGGAATGTAAGATTACCAGTGGGAATAAAAGATTACCAGGGAATAGGATTACTGGGAATGTTATATTTTGTGTTTGGTTGGTTTAGCAGGAATGTAAGATTACCTTGTTTGGTTAAAGGAATAAAAGATTATTGAAATGTATATTTGACCAAATTGTCCTTATTATATATTTGTATAATATTACAAATTGTAAAATATTTATATATTTTCTTTAAAAAATTAAATTCATAATATTTATATAATTTTTTTTACAAAATTAAAAATATAAAAAATGTTTAATGAAAGGGTAAAAAAAATTTAATCCCTGAACTTCATATAAAATTTTAATTATAGACTTTTTTTTGTAAATCTAAAATAATTTAAGGATAAATTTGTAATTTAACATTCGTAGAATTTTTATTATTCAATGACAGAAGAAGGATATTTTTGAAAAAAAAAATTTAAGGGTATTTTAGTCCAAAACGCCGATAATGTTACAATACCTAAGGGAAGGGAGGTAATGACATTCCTGATAATATACCCCAAAAAATCTACTATTGATAATAAAACATTACCGGGAATGAGATTCCTGGCCAATCAAACATGGGAATGTGAGATTCTCATCCCATGGAATCCCACAATCCTTGAACCACAATCTGGCTCCCACACGCACTGGAAGATGCTTCTCTAAGCTCCAAGAACAGTTCACTTGTGGTCCTCCATCCACGATGAAACCATGGCAGCAAGTTTTGGTTCCCCCTCAGCAACCACAATAGCCGCCAACCGAGCTCCCCATGCCTCGACAGTAGCCCCATCAGCGCCCATGCAAGGATGAAAAACAAAGAAAATCAACAAAACAAATAAATGTTTTTATTTTATTTTTGATTTTACTGTTGTAACCTTAGGGAGGGTTTTTAAAACCCAAAAAGGATTCTTTTTAAGGGTTGGCAACTAAAACATCAAAAAAAAATTTTGAAAACAATACACAGATTCTCGAAATATTCCAGAGTTCGTTTTTCACCATTTTTATTACTTTGATTTATGTTAGGGGGTGGGGTTGTGAGTCGAAAGAAAGCTATAATATAGAGAAGGGTTTAGACGTTTACCTTAACCATCAGTCGTTGGTTGTTAGGATCGTGGAACGAAGGTTCGAAACATCTCTAATCGTTGAGGAATTTTAGTGTAGCATTTTTGAGATTGCGTTTAGGGGGTTAAAATAGAAACAAGGCGGTTCTGGGTTGGATCTAGGCTAACCTCACCACCGTTGATGGTGATCGGAGTAGGAAATAGAACCGAGGAGAGACGAAGGGTTAGAGGAGTTAGGGGGTGATATGTGTTCTAGGATTTTTACTTTGTGATGTAGAAGAGAAAACGAAGGTTTTTGGGGTTTGTTGGTTGTCTTTTGGTCTCTCCGACCGTAGCTGGTGACGGTCGGAAGTGGGAAGTGGGAAGTGGGAAGTGACCATCGACGTACAGTGGCTGGAGAAGTTTTGAGGGTTCGAGGAGAGAATATAAAAAAAGAGTTTTGTTTTAGTTAGGTTTGAAATCACCCAAAGTATTAAAAAGTTGTCTTTAGTAGGAAATGTTTAGGGGTTAATTTACATTTAGTCCCCTTAAGTTGAGTGTGGTTTTGCATTTAAATCCTGATTTCTTTTATTAATTGTTTAAGTTGAATATGAGGTATTGTTTGTGCTAGTTTTCTTTTTGTGTTTTTTTTAATTTGTTAGATTTAAAAAAAAGGAAAATCACCCTTTATTCCCCTAGTTAACCGTGTTTTTATATTTTAGCTAGGAATCTTATTTTTAGTTTATTGAAATATTAACCTACTAATTTTGTTAAATTTATTTTTTTGTTCACTGTTATGTTTAATTTGACTGCATAAATTACTCGAATCGATCTTGCGGTAACTCATCTCGGGTATGACCTGCATTATTATAGTTCGGATAAAATTCTAACTTGCTAATTTCTAAATTTTAAAATATTATTCGAAATAATTGTACGACCTCATGACGATCTGTCTCGGGTATGAGTCGTGTTATATGGTCAGAGTAAATTTTTTAATTTTTAACCACTAACTCACTGACCTTTTAAAATTTGAACTAATTCTACGACCTCATAAGAATATGTCCATGGTATTAGTCGTGTTATCACATGTCCAGATAAAATATTAAAAATCGACTCCCTGCCTTTAATTTCATGTAATTTTATTTTCTACCATAAAATTTTCACATTTTTAATTTTTTAGTACTTTAATTTCTACTTTTAAGTTTTTACCCTTTCAATTTTCTATATTTTTAATTTATGTTATATAATTTCCAACATTTACATTTCAGTCCTTTAAATTCAGTATTTAATTTTATTTATTTTTTAATTTAAACCTTATATTTTGTTTTCTTCCAATTTAGTCTTAATTTGGTTAATCAGTGCTATATTTTTTTGTTTTAATCCTTAAATTTAGGTTTCTTCAAATTTAGTCCCTAAACTTTTTAACTTAGGTGAATATTCGATTTGGTCCTTGCTTTTGCCCGAGGTTCAATTTTGATTATTTGAACCAATAATTAGATAAAATTATTAGGTTGTAATAGAAGGACTCCATTTTAGGAATAATTTCACTTTAGTCATTTACTTTAGGAAAACTTTTAATTTGATCATCGCATTTGGCTGAGGTTCCGAATCAATTCTTCAATTCAATAATTGGTTAAAATAAATTAGGTTTTAATATTAGAGCTTCAATTTAGTTTAAATTTTTACTTTAGTCATTTAATTTCTAAGAGTTTTTTATTTGGTCCTCATTTTTACTCTAATTCCCATTTTGGTTATTCGATTCAAAAATTGGATGAAATTGATTAAGTATCAATATTAAAGTCTCCATTTTAGATTAAGGGATTAATTTTAATACCTTAAATTTTAGCTAGTGACTAAAATGTAATTTTTGAAAGTTTGGGGGCTAAAGTATAAACTTTGTAAAAGTTTAGATATCAAAATGTAATTTTGAAAATTTATATATTTTAGCCCATAAATTAACAGTTTGGATTAAAAAAGTATTTTTGTTGGAATCAGATTTTGTTTACGGGATTTGTGTTAAAAGTTATAAAGCGATAAAATTCGGTATTGAAATCGGATAATCGAACCAAACCAAAATTTTATGAAATTTGAAGGATGTTAGAAAATGGTTGGAAATATTACTTCCATATTTTAGGTCAGATAAATTTAACTTATATCAGGTTAAGTTTTCATATTTTGTTGAATAGTGGAATTTTAGTGACTAAAATGTAATTTAAAAAATTTCATGTCTAAAATAGAAAGTCAAAGCCATGTTTGTACATCTTTGACTATGGAATATTTTAATGGAAGATAATGAAATGACATTTGGTAATTATTAAGGTTCATTAATGGTAAAAATGGAATTTCTCAAGAATTGAATTTTAAATTCAATTTAATTAGTTTAAATGTCATGTGTATTATGAACTAATA